CGGCCGCCACGCGGTAATGTGCCGAGCCTCCGCCGCCTCTCACTGGATGTCGATGAGCTCCACGTCGAAGTGGAGCACGGCGTTGGGCGGGATGACGCCCGGGTGGCCGCGCGAGCCGTACGCGTAGTCCGGCGAGCAGATCAGCTTCGCCCGCTCCCCCTTCGACATCTAAAACGAAGCCGCTGTGTGAGTGGCGGCGGCGGCCAGAAGGCGGGGGAGCGCCGGGAGGACAGCGGCGGAGGTGCTGGGGAGGCGAGGGGAGCGCCCGGAGGACAGTGGTGGCGGCGACGGGGAGGCGAGGGAAGAGTGCCGGGAGGATGGAGGCGTGAACAAAGCGACGGGAGGTCAGCGGTGGCGGCGACGGGGAGGCGAGGGAAAGGACAGCAGCGGTGGGGGGCAGGCGAAGGAAGAGCGTCAGGCGACCAGCGGGGACGGCGCGGGGAGATTAGGGAAATGAACGATGCCCACGGGCCGGACGGCGGTACCAGACAGCGACTCAGTCTGGGCAGCGTCCGCCTCCGCACGGAGCGCGAACAACACATGGGACACAAACTACATATATCTGCGAACAAAATGAGCGACACCGGGGACAAACGACTGGTGGCCAGCCAGCCGAGAACAATCACGACCGCTTCTCAGGAATCGACGCTCAATGAAAACGGTGTCTTAACTTAAACGCTTTTATGTGGTGCTGTAAAAAAGAAAGTGTTAGATTTGCTGATCACGCGGTATGGCTGCATCCCTACGCACGTTTGAAGCCAACTCGCGCGGGTGGGTGGCATGATGATGTCTGCTATTGCACAGCTGATTAAAGAGCCGTGTACTGACGTTCATTTGCAATCGCAACAAGCCAGTAAGCCCACTTGTGTGACGTAAGACGACCGAGGCGATAAGCGGGAGCGATAGTCAACGACTGTCATCGTGTAGATGACGAAAGCGTAGCAGTGGAGCCGGACGCGTTTGGCAACACATACCAATGGGTTCCATCGATGCGTTGCAAACATCCCGATGGGCCTACCACCTCCGCCTGGTGCGTTGCGGGCTGCTTGTGTGGGGGAGGGGGTGCCTGGGCCGTGCCAGCGGGCACCGCAGGGCCGAGACCCCGAACATGCGGACGACAGAGCGAGTGGAGCTGTGAGCTGGACGGCCAGCCTGGATAGAAGGCTCCCGCAATCGAATGAAGGGCTTAGCAAGCGTGTTAGCCGGCCACGACAACGTAAAGTTCATTTTTTATTGCAGTTAAACAAGGGGAGGGCCACTCACGTGCCAATTCACTAATAGCATTGCTTCAAAATGGCGGCTGCGAGTGTGGTCTAGACTGGCAACTCAGTCGACGAGACACATGGATTCGCCGTGCTTTGCCGTTTTGGCAACTATAGCCAAATAAATCTTGGCCACAATGAAAAGAACCATACGTCTGTGTAGTTTTTCCTCGGTTTACGGCTCAGCGCCCTGTATTCAAGATCGGTTTCCGAAATGTGGCATTGGTCCCTTGTCGGCCGATTACTGGCGAAGGTACGGGTCGTACAGTTATATATATATATATATATATATATATATATATATATATATATATATATATATATATATGTATATATATGACATGTGCAATCGGCACGCTCGTCCACACCGTGCAGCGCATGTCACCTCATCAACTCCGTTTACCGCAATCCAATTCGACAATGTTATGCCGCCTGAGGTTCGAGCCGACACGAGCAGCTGGCGGCGCGCTCCACTGACCTGGGCCACGCCCTCGTCCCAGCCGCGGATGACCTGCTTCTGGCCGATGTTGAAGGTGAACGGCCTGCCCCGGTCCCGCGACGAGTCGAACTTGGACCCGTCCTCCAGCGTGCCTGCATGGTTCAGGCGCGGCGGGCGGTAGCCCGGCAGCGGTCGTTCAGTAATGGTGGCGCGGCCGTCTCCGGGCAAAATACCCCGTGTTCTGCTCTCGAACAATGGAAGGCCGGCTGTTTGTCCTTGGGTGCCAGTGAGTGCACTTGATAGCTTTGGGTAATGTTTTGCGCTTCCAACGGATCGCAGAGTGGTTTGCAAAAATATTGAAATATTGTAAAGAAGGGATGAAGAAATGCCTTCGCCATGAAACCATGGACGCCACATCAGATAGCATGAGTCGCATTGTTTTCTGCACGAATGAGAATGGATCTACGGCGGGAGAAAACGTCATTACATGCCTGGAACTGTGACATCTACTTCAATTGTATAATGTGGTCTACCTCACCTGTGTAGTGCACAAACACTTTCTGCCCAGTCTTCGGGAACGTCTGGCCTGCGCGCAGACACACATATATGAGCAACAATGTGAAATCTGATCAACATCTGCCAACATCAGACACTTGGCTGGCGTGGGACGAAGGGTTCATAAAATGTGTGTGAGCTATCAATTGTCTACATGCTGCTATAGTAAACCACAAGCTTATAGAACCAGATGACTTTAAAAAAACATTCCATGGATCTGGTCAACATGCCGAAAGCACGTCCTTGATCTGGGATTGGCAGACAAGATAGCTCATGTAGTACTTGCATGTTATTTCATCAATTACAATGCTTGAAAACTGGATCACTTTGACTAGCCAGACCTGACTACTTCGGCCGACGAAACTCAGACCAAGCCATTGAATAAATGCAAATAGCTGTGGTGGACATTGGTCGTGGCATGAAGGACTAAGTACCATGTAGTTTTCATAATCTTATTTATTTTGGTTATTCTACAACCTGTCACATTCAGCATCAGTTTCACAAGGCATGACAATGGTCAGCACCAGCCACTTGCTGATGGTACCATGTGCCGAGATGTTGTGATCATTTAGAGAGCTATGGATTGTATAGTATATTTGCCTACATCATGCTACTGTTTTGTAGCCTTTACATGGTCTTCTCATTTTTCCCCTTTCACAAGGAATGACATTTTATTGCCAGCCATAACCACCCAATGAGTGAAAAAAATCATTCATGGAAGACGTTCCAATGCATAATCCAGGCCATCAATCAAAAACCTCAGGTAGAGGTGTGACTGATGTTGGGAATAATATGGAAGATCAGGCAAGACAACCCTGGATATGCTTTACACCAATTTTTGGGCCTGAGCCATCCCTAGGTCAAAGGGGTAGGTGGGGCAGTGTTCACAGGATGGTGTCAATAAAAGCAGTGTGGATCCCAATCACTTGCCCTAGATCCCTGAAGAATGGCTAAGCCCAACATTCTATCCCTAACATCAGTGAAACCTGTGTCACTGCTTTTTAGGGCCTACTGATCGCTGCATGTACAAAAGGGGCAGCCATTCTCAAGAAGTATTATGACACTTCTATCACTCATTCACCTAACCTAAGTTCCATGATATGCATTGTGCAGGATGTTTATAGTTCTGTTTGGTGAACACTGTCACACCATTTTTTTTAGAACTTTTGCAAGCACCAATGGCTTGGTTTTGAAGGCTATCAAAGTGATAGTGATAAGCATCAATACAATCAGAACACTTATCTAGGAAATACATAAACCACAGCATTTGCTAACTATGTAAATGCAAATTTTATCTTCTGATCTTATGTCACATGTGAAAGAGATTGACCAAAGCCTTGGTTGGTTTTGTTGCCCCCTCAGATATAAGACAATTTCCTAATCAAAGTGTGAGAAGCAGTATGCTTTGATTTTCACAAATCACTAGAAGCTATCTATTCTATCTCAAATTCCCTAAATCACCACAAGATGGCACAACATGCCATTTCAGCCTTACACAGCACTTCTCACCTCAACATTCCCTGTCATGCCATGACAAAAAACATAACATTTTTATCTCATAAGTTTGGTTTATGTATGCAGGCATATCTTTATTCTTCTGGTTCACTGGAAATGCAGCAAAAAGCTATTCTCAATGCTAATTGAGCCTGTTTACAAAAATACAGACTGTGCCAGATGCCTACAGGGCATTAACACACTGTACTTTGTGTTTGCATGTTCTAAACTCAAGCTATACTAAATTTAGTTTAAATCTTGAATTATTTTGATGCAACAACTTTTCAAGTGTATCTGCATGCACTAACTTTGCAGCATCACAACTTACTTACACAACTTACACAACTTACTTATTTATGGTAAGCATATGCTGATATTATCACAGCAATGCTCCTGGACATGGACATGTGTGGAGTAATGCCATTTTATGTAGCCTGCATTGAAACCACCAAGAGAGCAAATGCAAAATGACTGTGACTTAAAGAAACTGCAGTTCAAAAGGGAGAAGCCACACAAAAAAGGAAATGGTGCTCGACACTTCTACCTTCAAAAATAGCACTGACTTCTGGGTGCCCATCCTTTTAATCGATGGATGATCATCATATTTCTGACATCAAATGAAGTACTAACATATCGTTGTGCACATTATAGATTTAAGCTGGACACAACAGAATAAAGATCAAACAATGCCAGAAATCTTCCCTAGAAAGGAAACTATCTTACCATCGCCAGGCGTAATAGTCTGAACTTCGACGCCCATGTTTGGCCCGGTGAATTTAAGGATGAGACGATGACCTATGTACTACTGACCACAGAAAACTGAAGAGACAGCAAAATTGAAAATGCACCTGGGTACAAATTAATACAAATCCCCGCCACCAAAACCGAAGACCACCAGCGAAGGGCCGCAACCGCAAAAGGAACGCGAACACCGCCCAACGCCAACGCAGCGAGCACCAGCCCGGACGGCGAGAGCGATGGGGAAATATTTGAGACGTTTATGCCGCACCTTAATAGGATCGACAGCATTGGGATCGACTTTGTTCAGTAACGGATGTTCGTTCGCGGTTCGGTTTTATCTATTTTTTATGACGAAGTAATCATGATGTAGTCAAAAAGCGAGGTGCTGTCATATCAGACAGCTGCAAACAAAATATGTAGTGTGATAACAGACAGCAGACAGACAGATAACAGCTTCCGGCGTTTTTGCTGTTTTTCGCCAAACAGTAACCGACAAAACTTGGCCTGATTAGACCCGATATCTGGCATCGCACGTGTTCTGTGGGGTATGAGAAGTGCGGTGATGGACAGCTGTAATATTCTGAAATGTGATTTTTCCGTGGTGGATTGATGAAAAGGTTAAGATATAGGAATTGGTTGGCAAGGTCATGGCAATTTAGTCAATGGTAGCGCGAGCCAGGAAGGAGGAGTTGACGGGCAGTTCAACAGACGATCTCCGCCCCTCTTGTATGCATATATGTTCGTAGCACTCTTCAGCTTATTCAGACGCACTACCGATCAAATATTTCATGTTAGACATAGACATGATAGACATGATAGTTATCATTTATGGGTGCCATATCATTGAGCAAAGTGCCTGAAAGTTCCAGTTGCCACTGCTGCTGTCAAAATTATTTGCTTAAGACAATCTATGCCTTGCATGAAACACCTCATGCATCATCATGAGTATTGGTCTGCACCCATGCAGAGACTTTTGCCCACCTAGGTACCTAGAAGCAGCATGATATTCATCCCAGCTTGTCTATTGCCAGAGCTTATCTTGTGAAAGCAACTGCATTCAGATTCACTCATCCCTGTGGACTTCTAGGTTCTCATTTTCCTGTGATTTTGTCTGATCTTTTCAACATTAAATTTACCTGCCTTATGCCAATTGCTCTGATGAATATGTGTAATTTTTGCCTGCCACCAGTCCATCCAAACATTGCCTCACCTGACCAATTCTTCTGGGGCTTCCACGCAGCTCTTGCAGGACACAACACAAGCCAGTGGTGATGCTGCACAACAAACGTCACAAGTCATGCCATTCTGAGGACTCATGCCCAGGGCGTGCACCTCCTGAGGACCTGGGTGTGGATCAGACCACATCGGAAGATTCCTGCCCTGGTCAAGAAATACTGCCTGACTCGCCTTCAGCAAGCTTTGTTGTCATTGAGGATGTGCAGGATAATGACAGCACGGTGAGGACTGCTGGCGGTACTGTTGATGTGTTTTGGACAGCTCAACCCATGCGTCTGCCACATACCTAAGCTAAGTTTTTAAGTTTTACAGTTCACTGGTAAGCAACATGACTCATTCGGACAATGCAGACTGCGTTCCAGCCATTTGTGTGACCACACTGCATAGGTTTGAACTTGGGCTGACCCCCATGTCCGATGACACTACCCACGATGATGAATATTGTTGGATGAGGGTTGGGAAGTACCCAATGTACCCATGTCTACCCTGTGCCATCAGGTAGCTGACTCAGAGGCTGGGGAGGACAAGCTGCTGTCAGGACCAAGTCTGGTGATTGGCCAGAATGAGATGCTGCTGCTTGAGATGTTTGTGAGCCGGGTGGTGCAGGAGATGGAGACACGCTACATCTCTCGGTTCGTGACCATCCAGGCATTGACATCACCCACAGACACTTTGCTCTCTCCCAGCATAAATCAACATTGCAGCCACTGGGCACCTTGTCCATGCAGCAGGGCTACAATATCAGGATTTGTGGTTGTGGGTTGAAACCCTTTGAATGTTGACTCTTCACAGTTTCTCTGTGGTAAAAACTTTGGACAGACCATCAGCTCACTGTCTGTTGGTGACTTTCTTATTCTGGGACTTCAGCTGTCTCCTGTTGGCATTGCTTCACAACCCTGTGTGCTCTCTAATATCACATGATCTTTTGCCATGCAGTGCTGTCCTGTGGCATCATTCCACCATTCTGCCTTTCAACCTTTTGAGATGACCTCACTGTCATCCTCCTACCTCATTTTACCATCCTGAGGCCTCTCCACCATCAAACTTTCCATTATCCTGTGACCTTTTCACAATCCTGTTGGTTTTGTGCCTGGTGACCTCCCTTCGCCACCCCATGGTATGTGTATGCCATCCCATAATCCTCTTTGTCATTTTGTGGCTTCCTGTTGCCACCTTGTAGTGTCTCCGACATTCTGTCATCTCTCCGCCATCCAGCTTCATGTTCAGCTTGTTGTGACTTCTTTCTGCCATCCTGAACTGAAGTAATCTCCACCATGACCTTCCTCTACCTCCCCTTTGACCTCCTCATGACATCTCTCTCCATGTAACCCCTTCCCATGACCTCCCCCATCATGTGACCTCACTCCTCCTGTGACTCTCATCGCATGACCCCGGCCGCCATCGTCAGGATGCTGGAGATGGACAGCAAGGTGGACGCGCTGGCGCATCTCTGCTCGGGCATGGCCGACAAGCTGGACGCCGTGCTCGGACGGTCTGGCGGCGCCGACGCCGACGCCGAGCAGGCCGACACTGGCCGACGCTCCAGGTGAGAGCCGAGCCGACCGGCACGCACTGACGCGCGCGCTAGTGGTGAGCCACGACGTTGTACGCGTGACATGTGCTTGCAGCACACAAGTTTATGTCCTCAGCCTGTGGCTGTTGATGTAGCGAGTGCTGCTGCTGTTAAGGCAAGTGTTGAATGCTATGGATGCTGGCTGCAATTCCCGTGAGTGGAAACTAAGCTGGGCGTCCGCTCAAAGTCGTCTTGGGTGCTGAACTGGGATTGTGATTGGTCCGCACCGCGAGCCTGTTATGTGGCGTTATTCTCGAGTGGCGTTCTCTGCTCTGTGTTCTCCTCTTCCTCTCGCCACCTTTACTTACTTTACTTCGTCTCCCATGTCAAAGCAGGTCCGTTCGCATACCCCGTGACATGTGCCGTTTCCGTCCCGCCTGCCAGTCTGCCGGACATCCAGACCAGGGTGGAGTCGCTGGTCCAGCTGTGCTCCAGCCTCTCGGACAAGATGGACGCGGCTCTGCCGGCGTGCGGCCAGCAGCGGCAGCTCGCCGACGGCGGTGCCGGTGACGCTCAGACCAGGTCAGCGCCGCTCGAGCCGAACTGGGTCCGGCGTGGCCGCGCCGTACCGCCGTCGGAGTCACTGCGGTGACGTGCCGCGACCCCAGGGCGCAGCGCGCGGCACGCTGCGCAGGGTCTGGGAACGGCCGTGCTGTGAGCGGCGGCGGGAACATGGACAGGGAGAGGGGGTTCGCGAGGCATCCAATCTTGTTATTAGGTGGTAGAGGGCAGTGCAGCTGATGAAGCGTTCGCCGAGGCGTGGAGCTCGAGCCGAATGTGGTGGTTTCCTGATTGCAGCTCGTCCGTGTGTGTCGACCCGACGCCGCTCCTTGCCGGTTGGTTCGGGCACGGGACGCAGGCTGGTCGCTCCTGATCCGTACCTGCTGACCTGACGCGGTCCGTTGACGCTGGCGCGGTCAGCCGGTTACAGACCTAGCTCCGCCCGTCCCGTGTCGGCTGGCCAGACCCCGGCCCGACTTTACTAGGTCCTGGGATGGTCGCTGCCCCATGTCTGCTGACCTGACACCGCCCCTTCCCCATTTCCAGTTCACAGATGGTCGCTCCCCCGTGTGGCGTCGCTCTGACGCCGCCCCTGCCCCGCCGCCAGGTCGCAGGCGGAGGCCGACGGCGACGCGCCCGTCTCGCTGGTGTGCGCCGCGCGCCGCGCCGACGCGCCGGTGATCGCGCTCAACCGCGAGTCCGACTTCCCCGACGGCTCTTGGCTGGGCGACGCGGCCAACCCGCACATGCGCGTCCGCTGCAAGATCCACCCGCTGTGAGTCGGCCGTGGGGCGCCCGCGCGCGGCGCCGGCCGGGCGGCGCGCACCGCGGCTGCGCCGGGGGGCTGACGTGCGCCAGGGGGCGGCGTTTCGGCGGGAGTTGCTGTTGGTCAGGCGCGCGCTGTGCTGGCGTTACCACCCTGGGGCCGTGTGTCGGACTCGGGAGGCGCCCTTGACGAGCGTCTGTGCTGGCATTACCACCTTGGGCCGTGTGTCGGACTTGGAAGGCGCCCTTGACGAGCGTCGCCCGTCGGATCGCAGCCTGGACACTGGGCCTGCTGCCTCAGCATGTATATTTCTGAAGCGTATTTGTGTAAACCTATGGACTAGACAGCAGACCGGGCCGCGCGGATCGAGCCGCAGTAGAGACGCTCGGCGGCGCGTCCCGGTGACCGCTGCCGCCGCTGTGGCGCGAGCGTCTGCTGAGCGGCGGCGCCCGTTCCAGCGAGATGACGCGGCTGTCGCGGCACTGCGTGTCGGCCGAGAAGCTGGCCGTCACGCTGCTGGACCACCTGTTCCCGCGCGAGGTGCTGGCGGAGTCGAACATCTCGGGCCGCGGCCGGCACTGCAAGAAACAGCTCGACCCGCTCATGGTGAGCGGCCGGCACAGCGGCGCCGCCGGCCGCTCTGTCTCTCTGTATTTGGGTCTGTGCCCCCAGCTGTGTATCTGTCTCTGCCTCTGCCCTGGCTGTGTCTCTGTCGCTTTTCTGTGTCTCTGTATTTGGCTGTGTCTGTGTCTGTCTCTGTCTCTGTCTCTGTCTCTCTATGTCTGCCTCTGGCTGTCTCTGTCTCTGCCTCTGGATGTGTCTCTGTCTGTCTGTCGCTGCCTCTGGCTGTCTCTGTCGCTTTTCTGTGTCTCCGCCTCTGGCTGTGTTTCTGTCTCGGGCTCTCTGTCTCTGTCCCTGCCTCTGGCTGCATCTCTGTCTCTGGCTCTGTGCGTCTGCCTCTGGATGTGTCTCTGTGTCTCTGCCTCTGGATGTGTCTCTGTCTCTGTCTGTCTCTGTCTCCATATCTGTGCCTCTGACTGTGTCTCTGTCTCGTTGTCTTTGTGCTTCTGCCTCTGGCTGTGTTTCTGTATCTGTCCCTCTGTCTCTGTCTCTGCCTCTGGCTGTGTCTCTGTGTCTTTCTCTGTCTCTGTCTCTGCCTCTGGATGTGCCTCTGTCTCTGTCTGTCGCTGCCTCTGGCTGTGTCTGGCTCTCTGTCTCTGTCCCGGCGTCTGCCCCTTTATCTTTGCCTCTGGCTGTCTCTCTGTCTGTGTTTTTCAGCATCTTATGTGTGAGGGTCTCACCGCACTGTACTTGTGTTGTGTGCGTGTGTGTCGGCGCCTGCGTGTGTATGCGACCGCACTTGTGTTGTGTGTATTTGTACCTCACTTAGTTAACGTGTTCTGTGGTTTTTGCATTGTGGTTTGGGCATTGTGAGCTGGGCTATGCGTGCGTGGTGAGTGGGCATTTGGATTCTCCTCTGCTGAGCCAGGCAGGCAGTGGCTATAGGAGTCACTGAAATTTGATTTAGCAAAACTCAAGTGCAGCTTATGGGATGGCATATTGTGTAGTTCGGCTGCTAAAGCATTCATTGTATATCAGGACATGCTTTAGAGCGCGCATGTTTTTATGTGAAAAGGGCAGAATCTTCATGTTATTTATCGGGGATTGGTGCCGGCGTGTGCCGGCGTATGTTTGCTTTGTGCGGGTCGGAAATACTATTCGCTACATATTCTCCGGCTGTGAAAAATAATTATCCACCAGCTTCAGTTTCAGATTTTCGGTCAAAAATCTTTAATCGCTGGTATGCTGTGGAAATCGCCCGGAGTGCATGCACCTGCGAGCTGTGGACTGCTGCGTGGACCGAAAGCGTGTTGGGACACTGTGGATTATCTCCCGTGGGCAGTAACTTAAATTCTGGAAATAACCAGCCGCGTTTTACCGCAGCGTTTTACCCAGCTGCGTCTTCCGTCTCAATGCCGGCAGATTTACGGTATTTACTGTCATCTCGTCACGCATCATAACGTCACGGAGAAGGAGTGGCAGCGGATCAAGAACAACCTGGACGCCAAGTGCAGGAGCATGTGGAAGCGCAAACAGCGTGGCAAACCGCTCGGCATGGGCAAATACGTCAACAAGCAACCGAGGGTGTGTAGCCCGACGTCGCGCAGTATTGCGTGCTGCTTGTGACCACATCCGCTACCTCGTTTGGTAAACGGCATCACTACTTCTCCAGTTTTGTGGTGTGATGTTGGTTTTGTGAAATTCCTGCCATCTATGTGGCACTGGTTTTTGCCCAAAGGAAGGCAAAAAGACAGACGGACGGGGCCAACAAAGACTGGACGACTGGATCTGGAAGGTGTTAAAGCCTCATTAAATAGATTTTCAAAGTCATGATGGCGTCCATTTCGCGAAGAGCATGACTTTTTATGACCGGGCGACGTTTGTCTCAAAGATTAACCAGGGCATCAATGGGAGGAGTTAGAAAGTGGCCTGCGCTGCCTACGCTGTACAAGCCATATCGCGCCGTGTGCCCCTCCCCCAACCCCCCATCCCTCTTACCATCGTCCGGTGGCGGGTCACTGACCCTGTGTCCGGGCCGGTGCAGCGGTGGACGTGCGTGGACGAGCCGGCGGCGGCGGTGCAGTCCGGCTCGCCGGGGCTCGTGTTCTCCGACGACGCCGGTATGGTGGTGATGGAGACGATGCCGGTCGGCGACGTCGTGGAGGTCGAGCACGCCGACTACCTCAACACCATGGAGCTGGCCGACTTCAGCAGCGTTAAGGTACGCCGCGGCCTCTCGTCAGGGAGCTGGTGGTTGTGTTGAGGCAGTGACGGCGATTTTGTTGAGGCAGTGGAGGTGGCCGCGTTGCGGAGCCAATTTGGGTGGGAGCGGAGCTTAGTTTGATCGACTGCGCCGTGTTTGATCGGTGTTATCCTGCCCCGGGTTGGGTTACTGGTGCTGTGGACAGCAACCAGGTATCTTTTGGCAATTTTGGATACCGCAGCTGTGCTCCTATCGTAGGAGATTAGACTGTGAGCCTGCGAAACTGAACCACCCGATGCTGGAGCCTTACCTGTAGTCCCTGTGCTAATTTACGGAAGTGATGAGGGTTTCAGGGTGTTAAAGGGGGTATGCCACCTTCGTACTTTTCACTTATTGCTAGATCAGACGCGTCCGATTTCACTCGTAATGCTAGTTTTCCGAATCCTTCAAATAGCTCAATTTGTATTTAGAGTAGCCGCGCCTGCGGCAGAAAGCTCATTGGACTCCTTGCTCGTCACTGTAAAAGTAATGCATTTGATTTGCCTTGCTGTTTCCGGTGGGTGTGTTCTATAATGTTTGTAGCACACTAGTCTGTGAGTGGAATTAATTATATGAAAGTTTGAAACAATTCAGACGGGAAGATGTGCAAACTGAAACTATTATCCCGCGAATTAAACGAAACATTATACAACGGCTTTGATTTCTCCCCTACGGCCTTCACTAGAGTGATTCTTTTGGAAGCACACTGTGACTTTAGGGAAGGGAGCATCGCATGGTCTGCAGTGACGCACTGGTTCAAACACGCACACGCGCTGCAACCAATCTTCTTCACGGTAATTGGCCCTTGCCTAGTGCTGTGCCAATGACAAACGCTCATATATACTGACGTCATTCACACAAACCCGCAATGTGCAGGTTAAAACAGCTAAAAAGTGGTACCTCTAACCCGTAACACCCGACCACGTCTCCCAGCAGATTCCGCCGTTGTCATGACGACGGCGGTCGCGACAACTGCAGTTATCGTGGATTTGGGATGCTTTCTGATGCTGTCAAGGAAGGAAAGAAGTGTAGTGCTGTTAGAAGTGTTGACAGTGTTTTGGGCCGTAAAATGCTTAGAATTCATGTTCTTATTGTGTCTTGATTGTGCTGCAGTGGCATTACCCAGTGGAATTATTGGATGTAACTGGTCCTGAAGTTTCACAGGAGTATGTCTTTTTTAAATGTGCCCCGAAGGTGTGACTCCCTCAAATCGCGAAGGACATGGAAAGCGAAAGTTTGTGTTTTGGATCTAGCGTAGTATCCAATGGGAGCTATCTCTGAAATGGTCTTCAAAGGCATGTTTTGTTCTGTACTGATGGACTAGTTGCCTGATGTCCGTACTGATGGGCTGTTGCTAATGCATGCAGGCGTTTGTGTTCGCAATGTTTGCGAATGCGCCTGCGTGTTTGGATCAACCTGGTGTCTGTCTATCTGTGTGCAGGTGGTGCTTGCGCGTCTCAGGATGTTAGCCTTCTGTGTTTGTGCGCGGCAAGCAGTTCTTATAAGTTACGCATGTGTTTGTCTATCCTGTGCACTTGTGTGTCTCCCCTGTGCACATGTGTGTTCACACTGTGTACCTGTGCTTCCCCTGTGCACCTGTGTCTGCCCTGTGTACCTTTGTGTCTACCTTTTGTGCTGGTATTTGTACCCTGTGTATATGTGTGTTCTACCATGTGTACCTGTATGTTTGCCCCATGCAATTGTGTGTTTACCCTATGTACATGTATATCCACCATGTACACATGCATGTCTATTATGTACACTTGCATGTCTGCCCTGTGAAGATGTGTATCCGCCCTGTGCACCTGTTCATCTGCCCTGTGTGAATGTTTGTATACCCTGTGCACATGTGTGCCTACCCTACACATATGTATGTCTACCTGATTCACATGGGTATCTACCCCATATACCTATGTGTCTACCATGTGTACCTGTGAGTGTCCACCCCACCTGTGTGTCTGCCCTGTGCGCATGCCTGTCTGCCCATGCACCGGTGTGTCTCCCCTATGCGCCGGTGTGTCTACCTTATGCACGTGCGTGACCAGCGGTGTCCGTGTGTGTGCGTCAGGTGATACAGACGTCGATGGCCGGCTCTGTCCGACTGCTGGGCGGCGACAGCTCTGACCTCCTGTCCTCCAACAACGTCTCGCTGCACGAGGTACGCCTGCCGTGCCGACCCGTCGTACATGACCACGGGCTCCCCCTGTTGTGGATGGTAACCTTTTTATCTAAAACACGACGCTGTGTTGCTATGCAGTGGTTTGTTTCGCTCAGCGTACGGAAGATGGCATGGAGCGCGGAGGGCGGGGTACCGATAGTGTAGTGGTTACGTTGTACGCCTGAGAAGCCAGGAGGTACTGGGTTTGACTCCCGTGGTGCCGCTCCTCCTGTCAAGAGGACAGGCAAGCACGCCGTATTGTCCTGGCAACCAGGTTTGGTAAAGCCCCAATCACATAAACATGGAGGGCACACGGATGCTAAACAGGCAAGCAATCGGAATGTCCCGAATCGCTCCTAGTTGGCCAAAATGTCCGTGCGGTCAGCGTATGAAATTGTGTCAGTGTTTGTGTTACCACTTGCTGCCATCGTTAGTCGGAGCATTACCGTCACGCAAAGTACCAGTGACGGTGCGCTACCGTGGTCAGTCTTTTCCGCCGCTCGCCGTGCTTACGTCGGTGCTGCCGCCTATACCGTCAGGCGAGTGCGCGGGGCGACACCGAGCGGCTGCAGGCGAACAGTCGGCAGTTCCGCGCCGTCATACGCGAGGACCCAATGGACGGCAAGCAGCAGCGGCTCGTGTTCAGCAGCGTCAACGACTAAGGCGCTGCGAGACACCAGCAGGGGGCTGTGGGAGCGGAGACTGGGGGAGACGTCGGCAGGGACCAGGGCCTGGGGACGGGGCGGCTGGAGCGGCCTCTCCGCTCGGCCGAGTGGTCGGTCCAACCGCGCCGCCCTGGGGCGTTATCCGCACGCTTGGTCTGGGGCCACGGGGACTGTTTTTGAAGCACGGTGACCAACCGGGAATTGCTATCAGGGGCCTGCAGATGTCAGTCGTGTCCGGACTTCGCGGGAACGTGGCGGGACGCTGTGAAATCCCGCCTTCGGGGAGATGGCGACGGAGCGTGCCGGAAGCCGCGGCGGCAGACGCGAGCCAGCAGGACATGAGTCGCACCAGAGCGGCCAGCTCGGGCCGATCGCCGCGCATCTGCCCGCTTATCCGTATCAAAACCCGTTGGAAAGGTGTCGTCACTGGCTACTGATCCCGATCCCGTGTCTGGAGTCGCCTGTCCCGACCCAGCCCCGGTTACAGCCGGTACCTGAGTGGTGCGGGTCTTGTCCGTCGGCGCCTGGATGTTAGACTAGTTCGTGTCGCCTGGCTGTGTGCCTGTCGTCTGTGGTTGGCGTTCTCTTGCGTAGCGTCGCTGAGCAGGCGCGGCGGAAAGTCGGTGGCGCCGCCAAATATATCGACACCAGCACTTTCCGACTATCTTGCCACCATCCCGCCACAGTCCACGACAATGCGCCTGGAGAAATGTCTCAACATGAGAAGCAGCAAGATCTTCAGCATCCTTTACGCATGAGCTGCGTCGGGGTGTGGAAAGAGCGCGGCGCCGACGCGTTTGGCCCCTGGGCGGGCCGGCGGGCCTAGCTCGGCCTCAGAGAGACCCAGCCGTCTCTGGCGATAGTGGTCTGGCCCCCGGGCGGGCCGGCGGGCCTAGCTCGGCCTCAGAAGGATCCGGCGGTCTCCGGCGATGGTGGTGCGGCCACCACTGGCCCGCTCCGGCCGGCCGCGCGTGAGGCTGATCTGAAGCGGCGGTGCCCCGACTGTGGGCAAAGGAGGTGGAGCGCGGAAGGCGATGCGTACAGCAACCGGTCAAAAGCCGGCTGTTAGTAGCAAGGATACGATAAGGTCTTTGGCCGATCCTTGGTGGAGAACGCCCACACTGCCCGCCCGCATTAAAATCTTGGGCATTTTTGTTCTAGCCTTCCCCTCAAAAAAGGTATGAGAGCTCCGGCAATGCCTCTTCGATCGCACGGTTCGGGGCGCCCGGCGGAGCGTGGACGTCAGGGTGCGGCGTGCAGTGTGCTTGGAGTTCTCGGGCCTTGGATTGCGCGAGAAGGCTGGCTTATGGAATGATGCTGAGCTAGATCCTTTGCGCAGACTTTGTTCCACTCAGAAATCTCAACGGAAGATCATTGGAATTGGGGTGAGTCCATCAAAGCCGAATCCTAGGTGAACTTTTGCCACAAAATCGGACCCGTTCTGTATTTCCGAGGCACGTCACAGTTCAGCGGAGCCTCCGGCATTGCGGCTGAACTGGTCAGGTACTGAGCCCCGCGCCACTTCGGAGCGAGAGTTCGAGCGTGTATCCATCCGGCGGGACGGGCCGGGCGGTTAGCGGACGCGGCACCCCGCGGGCCACAGGGTGCCGATTACCGTGCGGCACCCCGCACCTCGCACCCTACACCCCGCCTCCTCTCTGACGGCCGCCGGCGGTCTAGACGGCGTCTCGCCGACCGTCTGCCCAGGCCGCCACCGGCCGCCGCTCCAGACGCCAAAAAGCCAATCGTCCAATTATAACTTGTCCGGGGCGTTTTTGCCGTCTGCGCCGCCGCCCGACAAAAAGCGCGCGCTGGGCACAAAAAGCGCGCCAGTCGACCGCCGTCTGACACCCAGGTGACCTTGAGCGCGCCGCCGCAGACAGTGGTGAAAAACCGCCGCCGACCCACAAAAAGGCTGTCGGACGCGCGCGCCGCCGGCCCGGATACCGACAGGTCACCCGGGGCAAGTGCGGCGGGGGGGGGGGAGGGGGGCACTCCACCGCCGCAGGACGGTTATCGGCATTGCTGGCGTCGTCGGGACGGCCGGCGGCCCTGCTCGGGCCTCCCTGTGGGGCAAGCCTGGTGCGGACGGCTGTAGCGGCAGCGCTCCAGCCGGCCGCACGATAAGACTGGGAAACTATCTGGAAGGTCTGATTCTTATCCGTTATCTTAACCGTGATGACGAGGATGATGTGTAAGCATACGTCGAGATAACTAGCAACAAATTATTATAAAAACGTATTGATTTATGAACACTCGGTGCAATACATTGGGTGAGGCGCAACGTCGTAGGAGCTGCGCGCCAAGTGTTGGGCCTGATGGTCTGGATGATCTGGCGGCCCGCATTGGTTGCTAGCGACAGCGGTTCCAGAGGTCAGGCAGTCTGGGTCAGGGGTCAGGCGCGCACTCAGACAGACCAATTGGATTCCAGTTACCATGGGTCATTGGGCAGCAAAATCTGCTGATCACGGGACGCGTGCAATTGGGGCGGAAGCGACGGTGCTCTCCCGCTGTTGGTGAGCGTGCTCACATGGTGTCCGTGATAATGAGCGTTGATTGGCTCTAAAGGCTGACCTGCGCCCAGTTTTCTAAAAAAGAGGTAAGTCGTCGTGTGGTTAAGCGCGCCCTGCAAGTAACATCGACGCTGACCTAGTCGGCCATCGCATTGTGCTCAGGAGGAACCGGCCTATGGTGGCCGCGCGGCGAAGAAGCTAGAAAGCCAAACCTTGATATCGTGAGCGGTAGCTCTTTTGCGATCACATCGTTGACGCCTTTCCCAATACTTCGGACCTTCTGGTTCGAGCCTGCGTGGTGCGACCCGAGAGTGGCACCCCCTTAAAAGAGGGGGCAATGGGTCGCACCCTGAAGTCGAGCATACGTTAGAAACGTTTGAAGTGACACGTGGTTGTCTGCATTGGGCCTCAATTTGGCCAAACGTCGGTAGAGAGAGAGAGAGAGAAAGAGCGAGGAGGTAGGTATGTATATTAGAAATAGTGGTGTATCATCTGGCTGATCATATATTTTTATGCAATAAATAGAAATGACTAAACCTTAAACAAAATAAAAACCATCCTCCCGCCATATTCGTGTCTGGTAGTCGTTCTACCCTGTCTGCGACTGCCTTCAACGAGCTGTCCCTGTGCCCCCCAAGCAAGCGATCGATATCACCTCGCTCACCGCTCCGCGGTGGCTATGGCTTTCCACTGTACTCGTGCGACTTCTCCGAAGTTTGCACGTGCCGCGCGGCTTCGGCTTCTTCTGATGCTCGGCTAAGCCAGCCGCCACTCCGGGAGCCCAGCTGGACCTCCCCGACCGTCCCCGTCTTCGGCACGATACCCGTTATCCAGCCCGCTCCCTGACATGCTGGATGTTGTCATCTTTGGCTGTTTTGGGCGCACACACCAGACATGCCGCACTGCATTGGCGAGCGTGCCCTTCTGACCAGCGGCCTCCATCCCAGCTGTTTTTCTCTATCGACACGCTCGATTGTTGCCGTTTGAGTTATGGCCTCATTGATCATCCTTGTTTGCCGCTGTCGACTGCAGGCGTCTAGCTTTTTCGTTTCGCCGCCATGCTCCGTTTTATGGGTTTTTGGCTGTTTTAGGCCACTGATGCTTGTTTCGCCTCTGCCTGCTGTCATGCGAGTTGCTACTTCCTAGCCGTGCACACGTCAGGGTGCTAATCTGGTTCGTGAGGCTCGGCTTCAGCCGTCATGACTAAGCGCTGATGGATGCAAAATGAAAGTAGATCTGCTTTTAGCTCGTGACTGGTTCCGGACTATTATGACGCAGGCACCTGTCTGTGCACTGCAGGAGATGGATGTGCCCAGATTCTTGCCATTGTTCTGTTTTTGTTCTGAAACGATGCGAGTGATTTCCAGTGCATTTGTTGCGCCAAGCCAAACATACCATAGCGAGAATATTGCCGACTTTTGCTGGGTTTCGTCTGGTTTACGGCACAGTAGCTCTGACATTCTAAAGCAGTACTGCAGTGCAGGTGCCATAACTCGTACTGACCTGTCGTAGTCGCTTCTCGTTTCATTTCGTATTTCACCGAATCGCTCGAGCCAAAGCGTTCCAGTTCCGTTTCCCTTGGAGCAAACCCACAATTGTGATTCCGAAAAGATGGTTTACACCCCCATCGAATGTGAAACAGCCAAATTACGGCCACTTGGCGTATTCTAAGAGTTCTTAGCGGTGTCATTTAAAGCGCTGAACAATTCTAGTACTGTTGCAGGCTGCATCGTTGCAGGCTGCAGGCTGTAGGTGCAGGTTATATGCAAGTAAAACTGTATAACATTTGCAGCGTACAGAGTAGTTTTTTGTCAAGAACTGTGTACATCTCTAACTGAGAAATGATTGTCTATGAGCAAGCCCTCAGAGAGGTTAGATCTCAATGGTGACTCACCTATATATTCTCTTCATCCTGTGGATGATCTTTCCAGTCCCAAAAAGTCTAAGATAACCAAACCAAATCCAGCATATCGATCAAAGGGCGTTGGAGATGCCTTTTGATTGTGTTGTCAACTTTTGTACGTGAGAGGCGTGCAAAGCTGCAGCCTGCTCGAGGTTTATCTTTTGTTCTTTTCCAGTGCGCATTATCTGCTTGCAGTTATCTATACTGCCATCAGGCTTCCAACCACAGGCGGCCGCACCAGAGGGAAGGGACGAGGCCTTACCCCTCCAGCATTCGTGAACTCAAACGCCACGTCAACAGCGCTGCACGGAAAGCACAGAACAGCACGCCCTCTACCCCTGCAACCCTTTGTCTCCTCCAGTCTCGCTCGGCGTTGACGCCTGCGTTCGCACCGAATAAGGCACCCGCCGCTGCAACCCTTGCGGGTGCCGTAATGGCGCCATGATGACGGCATTTGCCCGCAAACTGGAACCCGGCAGTGCCGGCAGAACCCGGACACCTGTGGGCGGACACGCCCCCCCCCCGCACCCGCCTGTCCGCCAGTGCCATGAATAGAGAAACATCCCCCCCATGTGCGGGTCATTGACAGACCGCAGCTACGTAAAGGCGGTGGAGTTCCCGGAAAGTACATCGCGTGACATATTTATGCACCGTCTGAGGCTGAAATGACGTCATGCAAGGTGAATCGGTCGCTGGAACGAAGAGAATGGCTGTGTTGTGGTTTGGAGTTCAAATATGAGACATGCGGCAAAGGTCACTGTGACGGCGAACTGGCGCCGAAGATATTGTTCGTTTTTAGTTAGCATTTTAATCGCGTCAGAAGCATTCATGTTCCAGTGTTTTGTCATCAGTGAGCTTTGATGGGATCCAGTGTGATTGCAAGTGGACCGTTTCGGATCGGTTCAGAACTCCGCTTCCCAAGTTGTTTCAATTTCAGCCAAACGGTTCTGGAGGTAACGATTTTTTCGAACGGATTCTTGACACCAGCCGCACCTGTACTGGAGAGGGTTAACCGCTGGGGGCTGCCGTAAGCGGATTTGGTTCCCGAAATGGAGTAAATCCTGGGTACACTACTGCCACTACCAAAGTGAAACCCCACCTTACTGACCACACCACCATGTTGGCATCGCCTGTTGAATGCAGTGGTGCCCCTGGACGGCACCCACATGCAATGTTTCACGCCCTGTGACAGTGGACCGCAGCGAATATTCCATACGTACCCTGGACCTGCGCCTGCGAAGAAGTAAGGCGGTGAAGGGATCCTAAAAAACAGGAACGTCACAAGGTAATCACGAACTCCGGGACTATAAGCTACAGCATTCGGATGCCAGCTGGCATCGCGGAAGGTTGGCGAGCTCAGACCAGCAGCCATACGATGTTCTGTTTACCCAGCAGCTGCAAGGCCTGAACCGGGTGGAATGTTCGTGAAGGGATCGATGGCCATGATAAGAGCACGCAGCAAGCCGAAGACCGGGTCTCAATGTTACAGTTTTTTTAACGTAGTTTTTCTTACCAGCAATAGACTCAGAAAGACGCTTGCTTCTTGTGTTGAGCAGGAATGATATGCGATGTTTTTAACCTAAGCCCGTTAGCATATACCAATCAAGATGTTGACATTAAGTGACAAGATATGACGAAAAATCTTACTTATCATTGTCGATATACTTCTC